TTTGAACATGTTGAAAGATGGGATCAGTCCTTGGAGAGGGACTTCATGCTTGGGAGGATGGAGGGACAGTGCTGGAGAGGAAGACCCTCAATGAGGTAGATTGATTCAGTCACTGGGGTAGTGGGGACAGGTGTGCCAGACAACAACAACAACAAAAAGTTATGTGTTTCATACTATTCCTTCACATTTTCCCAGAAGTATCTGCTTTTTTCTTGCACATTTCAGGTGTGTGTGTGTTTGTATTTAAATGTGTATCAAAAATAAGATCACAGTTTACATAATGGTTTGGAATTTGTGTTTAAAATTCAGTAACAGGTAACAGAACAACTTTAATTTTGGTATTTATTTGTTATTGAAAATATTGTAAAAATAGATAATTGAGTAAGATGTGTATAAATGTAAAAGGGGTAGGGGAAGAGAGAATGGGGTGGAAAAAAGGGAAGGAGGGGGGAGCTCTGGTGGCCTAGTGGCAAGGAGCTGCAACTACAATCCCAGAGGCTCATGGTTAAAATCCACCAGATGCTCTGCCAGGAAAGGAGGGACAATCTCCTCCTGTACCATACCAGTCAGATCTGATTTGACGGTACACACACACAAAAATAATAATTAAAAAAAAGAAAAAAAAGTTATAAACATTAGAAAAAAAGGGAAGGAGGAAAGCACTAGAATAGCAGAAGTTAGTGGGTGGAAAGGGATAATAGAATATAAAAGATTCAATGAGGACTTGAAAAGATGGGTGACAATAGGCATGGATCAATAATAATTATATAAAATACAATGCATATGAGTGATTGTTTAAAACACAATGTACATGGATAAAACATATATTTGAATGATTGCATTTAAACAAAAAATATGAAAAATATATCTACTTTTTGAATAAACAAGGATTCCTTTTTTGTTGTTAGGTGTCATCAAGTTGCCTAAGACTCATAGCAACCCTATAAACAAAATATTGGAAGCTTGTCTTATTCATTCCTTGTCCTTTTTAGGACAAGTTAGAACTCTGGAACTTTTTCAGTGTACCTCTTTCTTAGGATGAGAGATCACTTCTGATTTCGTAATGTCAGGAGGCAAACAGTCAGCCTTAAAGGGTTAAGTATCCCATTTTTTTTCTAGTTGCAGGGCTATCCTATGTTGTCAGAGCAGAACTGCCCTTCATATTGTTGTTTTATGTGTCATCAAGTCACCTGCAACTCAGTAGCTCTGAACTCTGCCCTATCTTGAGTCAGTTTCCCTGTCTCTGACACACTACCCCTTACATCAGTTACTGTGTCAATCCATCTCATTCAATGTCTTCCTCTTCCACTCTGTCCTTCCACCCTTCTAAGCATGAAGTCATTCCCCCAGAATTGGTCCTTCTTGGCCACATGCCCAAAGTATGTGAGATGGGCCTTCAAAATCCTTGCCTCCGAGGAGCAGGCTGGTTTCATTTTCTCCCAGATAGACATGTTTCTACTCTTGGCAGTCCCTGGTGTGTTTAAGACTCCTCCAGCACAACAAATCAAAGACGTTGATTCTTCTATTATTATTGGTCATTGCCTAGCTTTCCAATGCATAGCAAGCAATTGTGAAGACCATGGCCTGAATCAGGTGCACCTTAATCTCTAGAATGACATTATTGTTCTTTAGCTCTTTGGAGAGGCACCAGACAACACATTTCCTTAATGCAATTTGTCTTTTGAATTCCTGAATGCTATTGCCAAGAGAGTTGATTGTGGAGCCGAGCAAACTGAAACAATCTCAATCTCTTCTCCATCTATCAAGGTGCTGCCAATTGGCCCTGTAGTGAGAATCTTTGTCTTCTTCATGTTGAGCTTCAATACCTATTGAAGACTGCAATTCTTGTCCGTCAGCAGCAAATGCTTTAGGTCCTTCTCAGTTTCAGCAAATAAGGTTGTGTCATCTGCACAACACAGGTTGTTGATGAATCTTCCTCCAATTCTGATACTACATTTCCCCCCATAAAGTCCAGCCTCTCAAACGATCTGTTTCACACATAGATTCAGAAGGTATGGAGACAGTACATATCTCTGATACACTTCTTTCCTGATTTTGAACCATGCAGTGTTTCTTTGCTCTGTTTGGTTATCTGTTTTATGGTCTAAGTATAGGTTTTGCATGAACACAATCAAGCGTTCTGTGATTCCCATTCTTCTCAAAATTAGTCACAATTTGTTGTGATACATACAGTCAAATACCTTTGAGTAGTCAATGAAACACAGAAAGACATTCCTCTGCTTTTCTTTGCTTTCAGCCAAGATCCATCTGACATTGGCGATAATGTCTCTAGTGCCACAGACTCTTCTGAAATTGGCTTGTATTTCTGGTAGTTTTCTGCCAATGTATTGTTCCAATAATTTTGGATAATCTTCAGTAGGATTTTGCTTGGATGTGATATTAGTGACAATGTTTGATAATTTCCACACTCTGTTGGGTCACTTTCTTTGGAATGAATGTGGATCTCTTGTAGTAAGCTGGCCAGGTAGTTAGTTAGTTGTCTTCCAGATTTCTTAGCACAACCTGGTGAGCATGTCCAGCACAGCATCTGTTTGTTGAAATATGTCAGTTGGTGTTCCATCAATTCCTGGAGCTTGTTTTCTTGCCCATTCCTTCAGAGCAGCTTGCACTTCCTCCTTCATCATCATTACTTCTTGGTCATGTGTTGTCACATGAAATTCTTCTGTATCAGCTTGGGTTTGTTCTTCAGTTCCTTCAATTTAAGAAATGCCAGCAAGTTCAGCCCTTTTGACCTTCCAACTCCAGCTCTTTGTACATCTCATTATAACACTTTGCTTTCTCTTCTCGAACTGCCTTTTGAATTCTTCTGTTCAGCTCCTTAACTGCCTGCTTTCTTCCTTTTGCTTTGGCTTCTTGGCAATCTAGAGTAATATTCAGAGTCTCTTCTGACATTCATCTCGGTCTTCTCTTCTTCCTCTGTCTTTGTAATGACCTTTTTCATTCTGCATGGATAATATACTTGATAACCTCCCACAGCTTGTTAGAATCCACGGAAACCAAAATTTTACTGTGAGTCCTCCATAGCAGTTAAAAAAAATTACTTTTCTTTTATATTGGTTTGCACATAAAATTTCTATACATTGTGTTTCACACACTCCTTCTTTCACATTATGTTTCATACAATCATTCTCATACATTGTTTTATTATGTTAGTCACCATTGATCTATGCCTGCTTTTACTTCATTTTTTCAGGTCCCCACCGAATCTTTCCTAATTCCTTTATCCCCTCCATCAGCCCACCACAGTCTGTGACCCCACTTTCCGTTCCCCTGCATCCATCCCTTCCTCCTTTGCATTTTATTCACATCTTACTAGTTATCTCCACTGCATTTTCAATGGCTGATTTTTGAGAAGTTCATCTTCAGGGCTTTCTGAAGATGTTGCCAGGTGTGTTGAAACACCAAGTGGCCAAGCAAGCATGCTGACAGTTACACCACTCAGGAATTTCAGAAGGATCGGGCTCATTTTGCTGTGCCACCAAATGTAACCAAATCACAAAATTATAATTTTATCCTTGCAGGTTTTATAATTTTTAAAATGAGGGCCTAGGCAAAATGCATTTTCCACTTCCTAGCTCAGTCATGCTCCCTGCATTACCTGGACATTTTTCACAGCCTTCCCAGGAGCCACGCCTCCCAGATAAATGGGACTTGTGATTTTCCAGGCCTCTTCAGTGGGAGGCAGACTTTCTTCAAGGACTCGAAGACCATCAATTATCAGTCGACCACCACTGTTTTCCCGAATAAATATCACCTGGTTGAAGAGAAGGAAAAGAACATAGCTAAGCATATACTAAAATTGGGGAACAGGCTGTTCTGACTGTCCTCTTAACTCTGCTCCACAAAACACTATTTAAAATGGCATTTGCTTTCCTGAAGCTCAGGAATTTGTCACTTCTTCCTCAGCACAGTGGTTCTTGGCTTTTTTTCTTTTTTTTTTTTTTCAAAAAAAGAAAACTGTTCTCATCAATTCTATTTTTGCTGTACATAATTCACACGTTTCCAGGTCTCCTTATTTTATGTACCAAACTCAAACCAAACCCACTGCTCTATAGTTGATTCCAACTCATCGTGACCATCCACCGGATGGCTGAGGCTGTACATTTTTGTGAGAGGAGGAGTCTGATTGTCTTTCTTCTGTGAGCATCTGGTGAAATAGAACCACTTCCCTTAGTACCAAGTAATGCTCTGCACCACGGGGGCTCTTTTACTTTTTTATATATAGCTGTTTTTACCTGTTCACCTTCTATTTACCAATTCATTATGATTAATGTACAGGATTATAAAAATGTGTTAAAATAACTTAACTATATAGTTTCTGATTTAAAACTTCAGGCTTTAATTCTGAATGTTGTTGTTGTTTCATGCCATTGAGTCGCTTGCAACTCATAGCGAGCCTATGTATAACAGCCCCAAACTCTGCTCTGTCCTGTGCCAATCGCACTGTCTCTGAGACTCCCATCCCGATTATCCCAGTCACTGAATCAATCCACTTCGTAGAGGGCCTTCCCCTCCTGTGCTGTCCCTCCACCCTCCCAAGCATGATGTCCCCCTCCAAGGACCGGTCGGTCTCTCCTTACAACATGTCCAAAGTATGTTGGACGGAACATCAGAATCCTTGCCTCCAAGGAGCCACTTGATTTAACCCTCTCCAGGATGAATCTGTTTGTTTTCCTAGCAGTACATGGCACCCTTAATACTCTTTTCCAGCACCACAGCTCAAAGGCATCAATTCTCCTTCTATCCTCCTTAGTCCTTGTCCAACTCTCTGATGCATAACAAATGATAGCAAAGATCACGGCCTGTATCAGATGTACCTTAGTCTTCTGAGAGACACCATTGCTCCTCAGTACTTTGGAGAGGTCCCTAACAGCAGACTTTCCCATGGCAATATGTCTTCTAATTTCCTGGCTACTGGTGCCGAGAGTGTTGACTGTGGAGCCAAGCAAACTAAAGCTATGAACAATCTCAATCTCTTCACCGTCCATCCTGATGCTGCCAATTGGCCCAGTGGTCAGAATCTTTGAATATATTTTAAATTTATCACACTTCTGTATGAATATTTTCTCAGAAGGTTCAGCCCATATGTTCTCTCCCTCTTTTAAAATTATTGCAATTAACTATAATGCATTTTATGGTACTTTCTATCTTCATTACATGGAAACAGATTTGCTTAAATATTTAGCTATTTCTCCAGTGGTTTTTCTGCCTTTCTGTGTGTATTTGTTCTTCACTGTGGATCTCCCTAAGTAGGCCTATTCTCTGCCCTATAAAAGACATTCAGGAATAGTTGTTGAACACTATAGCCTATATAGGTAGCAAAGGAAAAACTAAAATGACAAATAATTAGAAACCAAATTTAATTATGTTAGCTACTGATCCTTTGGTTAAAAATAATTATACTTAATTTGTGTCTCTTTTAAAATTATATATTTTAAATTTTTTATAAGAAATTAATAAAGAAACACTCTGACATGAAACTTTGAACTTCCTCTTATAGAATTTTAATATCCAAGCTTCTAGAGAGAATAGTGGGGTAATTAGAGCTGGACAGTAGTGAATATTAGCTGATAATGCTACTCTCTGCCTTCAACTTACATCATGCCACAATCCATCATTGTATTTCTCCTGACTTCTAATCTTCAGTTTCTTGTGGCCAACATTGAACATGAAAACCAAACGACCATGGGCCAAGAATAGCGTCATGAAGTCATTCTCTTCTTGATCTGAGACATAGAAAATCATACCATGGGAGGAGCGAGTTTTCAGGCGAATGGAAAACTGAGATCTGGTAAAAGAAAAAAAAAAATATCATCTGTAAACTAGATTGAGGATTATTGCTAACAAAGTAGGAAAAAAGAGAAATAGTACTCATTAATTTAAACCCAAGTTGTATTTCTTCTAATTATCCCATTGTGTTACTAATAAGTATTGGCTAATGATAGTATTTAAAAAATGTTAAGGCCTTCTCCATTTTTTTAAGACAGCGATATAGTCTAAGTTTAAAGAAAGTAAATATAAAAAAAAAAAAAAAAAAAGACAGCGATATAGTCTAAGTTTAAAGAAAGTAAATATAAAAAAAATATTGTTATATGTAGCTTTGAAAATATGGGTAAAATGAGTTTACTAAAACTATGTTGATGAGGTTTGTCTATATGGAGAAAATGCTAGTGAGTAACTAATCTGCATATAAAAACAATATGATTTGTGTATTATAAGAAGGAGAAATTAAAATGGTTTCTCAAATTAATCAAAGAATATAACGAGTTTAAAAATAGTCACCTGAAAATAGAAATAACAAAAATACAAATCGAAAGCAGTCTTCTAAAATGTAGCTCAAGGCCAAGAATAGATAACATTTGTTATGCTAACTTCCAATTTGATTGACTTTAAATTCTTCTAGAAGAATATAAAATAGTTATTCTGCTAATAATGCAGTAGTAAATTAGGAAGCATTATCGTGAAGGCACTGTTACACAAACAAACAATTTGAAATGACCTGAACAAATTCAATTTAAAGAGACTAGGATGCTAACGGTAGAAAAAAAAAATTCTCAATAATATTACAAAACTGGAGGGCTATAAAATTCCAGGAAAAGGTAAGGTGAGGAGCACACATGTACACATGTATTTATATTTTTAATGTCTCTGCTTATCAACATTCTAATAATTTCCATTTATAATCTGAAAGCAATTTTTATTAGGGAAGAAAGATGATTTCAAGGTTAGATGATAGATTATGTGAAATTTGCTCTATTTTCTTATCACTAATTGGCTTTGCTTTTTAATATCACACAGAATCCTGAGGGAATTCTGTCTTATGTACCTTATATTGAAAGATAAAGTCACAGAGAAAAGAATTTCTTGGAAAGCATCAATCATACTATTTAGTATTTCAATGATAAATAAACAGAACAGAGAGACAAGATAATAAGGTAAAATGACATAGGCAAACTCAGTCAGGCATTGAGTTTCTAAAACAATGTGTTAACTTTACTTTTCGCCAAAGTCTCCTGTTAAGTGTTCAAACTCTTGGCGGCTGTTGGCTGTGCCCCCATATTGATAGGCATGTTCAATTGCTCGGGGGCTGTTGGAAAAGTGGCAGTGAGAGTCTTTTGGAGCATCCTTCTCCTGGAATTTCAGGCCAACAGGATCCCATGAAGGTGCATCCTTACTCTTTTCTCCCTTTGAAAATAGGAAACAATAGTCAAAGTGATAGCATTGACTTGTTAGTAGTAAAACTTAGTTATAGCTCTATCATTACTACTAAAAGACTAATAATGATATGTGCCTCTTTCATTTTTGAAACATTAGGTCCTTCTCATCCCTTCCTCTACCTCCAGGCAAAAGAATGCAGCACCCACAGCTGTAACAACAACAGCAATAAAACACATTAACAGACCCCAAGTTCAAGTCTGAAATAGTAAAGCTGAGCTAACCTAAAGCTATATTAATAGCCAAATTGTTGTTTAAAATAAATACTGAACATCTTAAAGAGAGGTTAGGATGGGTCGGGGATGTTTGCACAATTTGATGGGGCTGAAGGAAATGTAAGGATCTTTTATTAAAAACAATGTGTTCAAACTTTGTAAATAAATCAGTATAAAATTAAAAAAGGTAGCACTGATCAAGTTATATTAAACTCAGTGTAGTTATTTAAAATAATTATTCCCCTAAAAAGTATCAAAGTTATATTATGAAACTTTTAGTAGTTAACTATCTTTGTAAATTTCAGAATAGTTATTGCTATTGTACACCGTTACTGTTCTTATGCTGTTTTTGTGCTGTGATAAACATTATGTAGGAAGAAAGACATTGAAGTTTTAATAGTTGAAACCACAAGAAAAATGAGTGCAAAAATAAGATTTTAAAATATATTCTTTACTGAAAAAATAATAAAAACACTGACAAACCCATAAAATACTGGCAAAAATTATTCTAGATGAGTAAACCAATGAAGCCTTTATATTATGGACAACAATATCAATTTAACCCACTGATTATTATTTACATATGTTGTGTAAGAAATTAGCATAATTAGCAGCACCTTCAGAATATTTAAATTATTTCTGACATGATATACATATTTTAATGTAATAGGATGTAGAATATTTAAAAAATAATTTTATATTGGTTTGTATACAAAATTCATATGTTTCATACTTTCCTTCACTCACATTGTGTTTCATACAATCATTCTCATACACTGTGTTTTATAAAATGAATCACCATTGAACTATGCTGACCATTACCATCAAATCTCTACTGATCTTTCACATTTCCTTTACTCCCCTCCCTAAAGCCACAAAACTGTGTGACTGTGATTTCCCCTCACCTATCCTCAACCCTCTGCTCCCACCCCTTCTTCCTGTGCACCCCATACATGTTTTACTAGTTATTCTTCTATTTTTCACAGTAATAGTCTTACATAGTATTTGTCTTTATGAGACTGAGTTAATTCACTCAGCATAAAGCTCTCCAGTCTTTCCCGTTATGAAGTGATTTTCAAAATTGTTGCTCCTGAGTGTTGCATAGTATTCTATCCTGTGACTGTACTACAATTTATCAATCCACTAAGTTGTCATTGGACACTTGGGCTGCTTCCATGTTCTTGTGATTGTGAATAATGCTTCTATGTACATTGGTGTACAAATCTCCAATTGTGTCTCATTTCTAATTTCCTTGGGATATATTCCTAGCGCTGGAATATGTGGTTCATATAGAATCTCTATGTTCAGCTTTTTTGAGGAAATGCTAAATTGTGTGGTTGTACCATTTTACAATCTTAACAACAGTATATGAAAGTTCCATTCTCCAAGATTTAGAGTAACTTTTAAGCACTATCTTGTGTTCTTGAAACTTCACTGCTGATCTTCAAATTCAGAAGAATTTACTTGGAATAAGAATCTATCCTAACAATTTGCTCATCAATATCATTAAAGATTTATGTCCAACTATCTTTATCCTTAAAAAAGGGAAGATGAAAAGGACTAAAAGTCAGTTAATGGCTATATGAATTATAATAATTGCATAAAATAGAATTGCTGTTGTTATGTACTGTTGAGCCAGAATTGACCCACAGCTGATAGTGGTGTTGCAGAGGCACTAAATCTCACGGAAGGAGATTGTCATCCTTTTCCCATGGTGCAACTGGTGTTTTTCAACCACATGGCAAACTCTGGGAATTGCATTGCAGCTTCTTATCAGCAGGCCACCAGAGGAGATTATTGTTTAAATAAGTTCTTTTAAGTTCATATTGCCTAGATTTAGGATTTTTAAGAGTTTAAACCAGTTATCATATGTATTTCTTGGAAAATATTTAAAAGTAACTTATGCAGACATAAATTTGAGAAAAGATTAGCAAACATTGACATTATACTTACCATAAAGTATAGATGAAATCTATAGTGATTTGATATTGTGTCACTTGGGTGTCTAAGAATATTTACCAGACAGGCTAAGAGATTTTCTATAATATTGAAAGTTTGTGTTTGTGTAGATTCAAGAATAGTTGATTATAATATTGAGACTATGAATATGTATAGGAAACTACATTTGATAGCTTCATTTGAAAAACAATGTTCATCTAAAATGATAATGTATTTTTAATGATCTTTCTCCCCAGACTGCAATGTTCACCAGCTCTTTGATCATCTTATCAGTGCTTAAGTGACAATTTAAAAAAAGAAACAAATTTCTCTGAAGAAACATTTTGGGATCCACCAATATATTAAGGTGATATTTTTAAATTTTTTATTTAAATTTATTTCTTTTTTGGGAGGGCGTGTGTGTACCATCAAGTTGGATCTCACTGGTAAGGAGGAGAGTGCCCCTTGTTCTCCAACAGCGCATCTGGCAAATTTGAAGTGTGTACATCTGGGATTGCAGTGCAGCTTCTTGCCAGTAGGTCACCAGAGCTCACCTATATTAAGGTGACATTAAGATTGAAGAATCTCACACTGATCTCTGAGAGTTGAAACTAGCCAAATCTTTCATAAAAATCCATGAAAAGATCTTTCTGCTTGAGGTGCTTAAAAGCTATCCTATGTCAAATTCAGGAAAGGAACATTGTTGTAAGGTGTTGTAAAAGATACTGAAATATTATAAATTTTATTTTATATGAACAAGGTTTGTTTGTGGTGGTTTTTTTAAAAACACACATAAAGAAACAATGTATGGAAAAAATAGTTTTCGTAGGGATCCTAAAGGTCAGTCCACACAAATTTAAATACAGGGTAAATGTCCCGGTATAAGACATTCTGGTGCCACAGTGGCTAAAATCTTGACTGTTAATGGAAGGGTCTGAACTAACCACTCCACGGGAGAAAATGCAGCAGTTAGTGTTTGTAAAGACCAAAACTTTGGAAACTCTAGGGTGAAGTTCTCCTCTGCCTTACAGGGTTGTGAGGTGCAATCAATTCCATGGTAGTGGATTTTTGCTTCAAAGTGTAATGGTCATTGAAAAACAATCAGAAATGAAATGAGAGGCTGATGGAGCCTCTTCTTTCTTGCTGATCACCTAGGAGCCAGCTTTGAAAGCCAATCAGTTCTTCTGAGGAAAGATGCTCAGCCATGAGAGAATGAAAATTTAAACCACAAGGAGAATCCCTATCAGCCCAGTAGATTGGCAAGATTCTAAATACTTGCTTCTTTTTAATACTGGCAATTGTGCAGGACAGATCTTTCAATTGCTGTTTAAGGAAGTGTAAGTTACTACTGCCCTAGCGAGTACAAATGCACATGCCCTTGGGCTGAGAAATTCCAATTTCAAGAATCAACCTTCCACAAATATTCATAAAACTTTAAAAAGATAGGATAGATAATGTTCATTCAACATTTCTAATATGCCAGGCATTGTGCTAAGTGTGCTTTAGGGAGTAGCTCATTTAATCCTCAGAAACAGTCAAACATTTACTCAACACCTATTTAGTGCTAGGCATCGTTCTAGGTACTTAGGATACTTCAGGGAACACTGCATTGGAGCTTGAATTATAGCATAGAAGACAGAAATCAATAGTGAGTATAATAAAATACATAATACATTAGGATCTTACATAAAAAAAGAAAAACAGAAAAAAGTAAGAACAATCTGTGACACTGGTATGGAACAGAAGGCTGGCTGAGTTATTAAACAGGTGGTCAGGGTAGACCGTACTCAACTGATGTGATATGTTCAATGCTGGAAGGTAGCAAAGGGAGAATGGTACAGGTGGAGGAGTTCAAGCAAAGACCTGAGTATACACGACATAGTTGAAGACCTAGGAGGCAGCAGAGTGAACTGACGTAAAGGGGCCTGGATCACAGGGGTCTCTTGCGATACTGTGTGCAGGTCCCTGAGTGGTACTATAGTTATGTACTGTGCTGTGAATGTAAAGGCTAGAAGTTTTAGTCTACCCAGAGATTCTTTGGAATAAAGTCCTGCTGATCCACTTCCAAAAAACCAGATACTGAAAACCCTATAGAACAAAGTGGCAATTTTTTTTTTTTGAGGTGATAGTGTAAGGACTTGTTTTTTGAGTGTAGTAGGAAGTCCTCTTGCATGTAGGAATGATATCTGATTGTCTAGGACAGACTGTTAAGGATAAAGGGAGAAAGAAGATAACCTGTTGAAAGACACTACAGTAATTCAGATGTGAGATGATGATGGCTTGTGTGGGAGCATGTGAATACATTGTCAAAATTGACCTCAGACAGGAGACATATGTCCTGAAAAAATGAAAAGGACTAAGTATTTAAATGGTGGCAAGGCAAAGTTTATGAAGATTTCCAGTCAGTAATGAAACATAGGGAGAGAGAAAAAAAGAGATACACACATGCAGACAGAATGGAATTTTGAAACTCAAGTTTTTGATGCTGTATCAGCTGTAGTTGATGGCACAGCTTTTAGTAAGTATGTGAATGGTGAAGTAAAGGCCAGAAAGTTGGAGAGAATAAAAGATCAAGAACTTTAATGATTTCTAGAAATGTGACAAAGTTTGAAATTGATACATTAAAGCAAATGCTCCCAGAGAATTAATAATATTAAAGAGTGATTGAGGGAGCACTGGCGGTGTAGTCCATATGGAGTTGCCCTGCTAATTCAAGGGCAGTTTAAATTCACCATCCACTCCTAGAGAGAAAAGTGGGTACCCTCTTCCTACGTAATTTACAGCCTGTGAAAACCGGGTGGAGGGTCAGGCATGAGTCTGTTCCAAATCAACAGCAAAAATTGGGGTGAAGTGTAATAGTACATATTATACATGTAAGTTATATTAAATACGGAATTTAACAAGTATAACAAAAAGTAGTTGGGAGGACTAATAAAAGCTGACTCAAACAGTTTCTGTGGGGAAAAAATTAACTGGACTCTGGTGGTGTAGTGCACAAGGAATTGCTCTATTAACTCAAAGGTAGTGACTCTCTGGCAGTTCAAATCCAACCGAGGCTTTGGGAGAAAGACAGGCAATCTCCTCTGTGTGATTTTCAGCCTCTGAAAGCTGATGAAGGGTCAGCTGTGACTTGATTCTGACTTTACTGCGGTGAGAAAAGTTTGTTAAACCCTCCAACAATCTCATCTTTCCCTCCCATGTGCATAGTTACTAATTAAATTCTATAAAACAGAGGTGTTTTAGAGCTATGTCTATGGAAGATGAGGACAACTAGAAAGATGGCACAGCATTATTTTTTACCTTTTTATTCTGATTTGTTTTGGGCTTGGAGGAATTCTTTCCTTTTTTGTGAAGAAGAAACAATGGTGAAGACTCAATAGGGCACTCATACAGAGAAGTGTGGATCTTTTCGGAATATCGCTGGAAATCTTCCACCTCCACATCTCTATCCAACCTGTGGTTATAATGGAGGAAAACAGCTTTAACAAATCTGGTTAACATTATATGATGAAAACACAGAGGAAGTCAAAGCACTTGCACAATTTTGTGGTGTACATGTGATAGGTTTCTAGCCATCATGTATAATCTTAATGAGGATACCTCTCAGTTATTATTCAATCAATTAATAGCTATGAGAAGGTCCAGATGTAATGCTTGAAAAAATGGAGGACGGATGAAAGTGAGGAGGACCGTTAAGGCGGTAGATCAACACAGTGACTGCTACAATGGTGTGAGTATAGTAGAGCTTGTGGGATGGCACGGCATTGGGCAGGGTTTCCTTCTGTTGTAGATGGGTCATTTTGAGTCTACACTGACTCAGTGAAGCTAACAACAACACAACAACAAAAACAACAACAGCAGCAACACCATGTTTCTTGCATCAGCATGTTATAATGAGAAAGACCACTTACACACCGTAGGTGACTGAAATAGCTTCGGCATTACATAATCTGTGTTATATTTATTTCTCATTTCTTCTTATGCTCACGGAACCTCCACAGTGTTTTTTTAATAATCTAGATTAAGTGCATTAAGTTAAGAAGCCATTTAAAACTCTCTAACAATGATTTGGTGATGTTACTCTGTACTATACCATTAATAATGTTGTTAGGTGCTGTCGAGTAGAGTATGACTCAGTGACACTATGAACAGGCAACCTGAACCTCTCCCTATCCTGTGCCATCGTCACGTCTCTGACACAGTAGAGCCCACTGTTGGAGTTAGTGTGTCAATCTATCTTGTTGGGGTCTTCCTCTCTTCCACTGACCCTCTATCTTACCAAGTCCCTTCTAAAGGAATAGCCCCACTTAGCTGTATGTCCAAAGTATAGGAAATGAAGCTTTGCCATCTTTGCCTCCAAATACTCTGGCTGCTCTTTTTTTGCAAGAGCTATCTGTTGCAGTGCTGGAGAAGAGAGCTGAATATCCCATGGATTGCCAAAAGAGCAAGCCATTAATAAGCCAAAATAATGATATCCAGTATTTTAAACATGTGCAAACTGTCTTATGTTATTATCTGTTAGTTTTCAGAACAAACTTAGGTTGTTGATATTATGTGCTGTCAAGTCACCTGTGACTCTTCGTGACCCGATATACAGTATCTCTGAAGTCTGCCCTGTCCTGAGCCAGTCTCATTTATTTTGAGAAACCTATTCCCATTGCCCCAATTACTGTATCAATCCATCTCATCTAAGGTTTCATCTCCTGTGCTGTCCCTCCACCCTTCCAAGCATGATGTCCTTCTCCAAGGACCAGTCCCTCCTGGCCATATGCCCAAAAGAAGGTAGGCATTAGTTTTAGAACTTTACAGGTAGAAAATTGAGGCTTAATCAACCAAGATCATTCAGACACTAATGGGGAAAACCTGTACAGGAACTCAAGTATGTCCGTTGTCCAAGAAGAAAGATGTTTCCAACTAGGACCCTCTAGAGTTTCTGATAAATTTCTCGGTTTCCAGTATAAAGGGTGTACATACATTTTTAAATTGACTTGCATTATCTGCTTTATCAGACACAAAAATGTACGATTAATAAAAATATATTACCTGGTAAAGTAGGCATTGCTTATACAGCCAGTGAAATTATTGTATTGAGGACTTATGGGTGAGCCACCAAAGTAAAACTTCTTTTCATTTGGCTGTGTCTCTTCCACTTTCCCCGTGGTGGGATTCTTATTCCTATGTCTGCTCTGATCTATTATCAGTTCATATCTGCAAAGAAAAAGAAGCTTCATTGACCATCATATAATAAGCATTTTATATTAAAATTCAATCTAGGTTATATAAGCAGTTTTATTATGGAATTGTAATGGAACATGTGGTGGACGAACAGCCCAAATGTTACCATATTCTTCATGATGCACATGACAAAATGGTTGAATATTTCTATGCAGAAAAAAAGACTCCAAATCAAGAATGAACTTTAAGACCATAAAACAACTTCAGACACCTAGTCATCTGTATTTTGTGTGTGTGTAGAAAACAGAAATAAGCATTTGTGGGAAATTATTTTCAATGTAAAACACATGAGTTGAATCCAATCTTTAAGAGAAGTAGAGTTTTACAGAAAGATGTAAAAATCCTTTGGTATTGTAACAGAATGTCTGCTCTTTATACCAGACACTTACTTATTTCATTACAAGATTTCTTATTACAAGAAGACATTTAGTATTAGCAGGTTTTAAAATAATGCTTTTTAAATGTAGTCACAAATTAAAAATCTAAAGTATATTAATATTTGCTGAAGTCTCCATTCCATCCTGAAAATACAGTATATGGTCACTTCTGTCAAAGATATTTAACTAGAGAGGAAGAAAACTTTCACATTTGTGTTTGTTGTTGTGTGCCATTGAGTTAGAACTGACCCATGAACGACTCTCTGGCAGGTTTTCAGAGGCAGTGACTCGCAGGGGAGGAGAGTGTCCTTCTCCTGCAAAGCAACTGGTGGATCCGAATTGTATTGGTATTTTATATTTACATGTTATTTCTTGAAAATAAGTAACTGTTTCATTCTTTTTGTTTTCACTCCCCACCATTGATTTAAATGTCAGAAAAGCAAAAGGAGCCCTGGTGGTACCGTGTAAATGCTTGGCTGCCAACTGAAAAGTTAGTCCTTTATACCTGCTCAGCAGCTTTGTGCAACTTGCTCCTGTCATGGTTATATCGTTGAAAACCCTATAAGGCAGCTCTCTCCTGTCATACCGAGTCACTATGAATTGGAATTGACTCGATAGCATCCAAAAACTGCAGAGAAACAGCTTATTCATAAAGTCATTGGACGTAATCATGTCTTCCAAGTAAAGACTTGGTGGAGGGAATACCTTGTGGGTGAGACAGAGGCAATAATGAAGTGGGACAGCCCGTCGTTGTATTGCTTATTTGCTGATTTCACTTTGAATCCTCTTACATCCATGATCACAGTGCCATTATCCAGTGAAATGGAGAACACATCAGACTGAAAGGCAAGCATAAGGGTTTAAAGTCAGGGGTCCAGGGAACCAGCGTATGACATGCTCTCAGCATTCACACAATGGTATTGCTTAAAGGAACAAACCTTTTACCAGAGATTTGATTGCAATACCTACGAAAAATAAATGAAGATATTCTGTTGCTTTCATTGGCGATGCCTATAGAATTAGACACATGTTTTTAAGGAGCAGGGGTTGAGAGAGGGGAAATCAGTAATCTGAGCTGAAAATTATTGGAGATTTTGTCCTGCTGAGAGTTGCAGCCCCAGCCAGTTTCTTTCTCAATGCAGACATTTCTGCCTCATCTTCAGACTAACTTTTAAGCTGCTTTGTAAATACAGTATTTGGACTCCTTTGGGGATACAACTGGCTGATCAGGCAAAAGTTGGTTTGTTAAAAAAAAAAGTTGGTTTGTCCATTTTGCCTTTTTAAATTATTCCATTGTTTTCATTTACAGAGACAGAAAAAAAAATTAAAGCAGAAGTTACCACCACTTTTTTGTGATTTGCTTATCACTTGTCATAAAATATCGACAAAATGATAATCTTGCTTCTCTTTTGCTGGTGGTCTCAAACTGCATGCCTTTGGGGTTGCAGCACAGATTCTTGGCCCTAGGCCACCAGAGCTCCCTAAAGTTAGCATAAACTGCTTTTTGTGTGAATGGAAAGTGTTATTTGACTAATCATGGGTATCCAAAACAAGTTTTGTGGCAGAAACCCTACAAATACTTTGGGTCTGTTTTCACAGATGCAACTGATTTGAATGAAATTCAAGAGAACTGTGACAGATAAAAGCAATATGAATGAAAAAAGCTGCTTTATAAATGACATTACAAAACAGTCAATCATTGAGGAAGGCTCCAGAGAGAAATCAGTCAGAACCAAACCTTTTCCAGAGTCTATTTTAGTTTTAAAATAACAGCTTTGTAAACTGAACTCATACTCTATAGAAAATTCAAGGCCAGAAGAGCGTATTCTTTTTACTGTTTGATCAACTAAAATCCATGTCAGTTCTTAACATATAGTCAGATTTTCTTAATCGTTTGTGTGCTGTGGATTTCATGGGCAGTTTGGTGATGCATATGCAGCCCTTCATTCATTAACTAACATGTTAAAATGCATAAATCAGAATATGTAGAGGAAAACAATGGCACTAAAATGTGTTTTGAAGTTAAAATTATATGTTTGTGTTATAGCAATATGTGTTTTTTTAATTAACTTTCAATAAGACTTACTATCAGATCTAATGAGCACTCTAACTTAGAATAGCAATGGGTAAAAGTATTTTGAAAATATCTATGACAATTATAATGTGATATGCAAAACATCCATGATTTCTACCAATGACAGAGTCACAAGTGTTGTTAATATTGCTGTGATTTGTTGGCTGTATACATTATAAACAAAATACTAAAGTTTAGTGAGAGAAAATGAGCATATCATCTCTTCCCACCTAAGGCCACAAGATTGTATGACTTCTATCCATGAACTCCTGGTGAATGCGGTTTTTGAGTTTCAAGTTAAGAGCTCCTGACTTTTAATACCTGATCTATATATATTTTAAAGTGCCTGCATTGAGGTATTCTGTGTATTTGCAAATGAGTCAACATCAACCTAAATAAAAACTTCAATTTACGTAAGAAGTAGTATTGTACGGAAAGGATTGTATGAAATGTAATGCCAATGAAGGAAATTGAAAAGCACACATACACACACAAAAATGCTCCTATATGTACATGAATGAAGCACAATGTTTATAACCAATTATATGCTTACCAATACAAATACCAATTAAAAAAAAGAGGTATAAAAAAGTATTGTTAATAATAAGACAATTAATTATCACAATAAATATCCTCAAGAAAAAACAAATACTTACCCCTGAAGCATAATAAAATAATAATCCACTTGGCTGTAAGGTTTGGAAATTAAAACCTCCTTCAAAGCCATCAAAGAAAGATATTTTCTGACTTGAAGCAATGAAACTCTGTCCATTGAAATATGCTCTGCGTGATATCTGTATGCCAATGCAGATTAGAAAAGTAGAGTAGTGTTATTACTGTGAAATTAACAAATGCTATCAATTTCTCATGTATCCAAACTTAAGCCTGTTGGTCTGTTAATGGCTTATCTTTTGATTTAGGGTCTATGATGACATTTGGGCATGACCGTCTTCCTTGTCATTCCTCCAACAGGTGGCATCTCCACTTATTAGCCTCTGAATGGGCAACAATTGGGGTATTGTCTCTCCAGGCTTTGGACACCCTGCCTATTATAAGTGAAACAATTGGCAAGTCAGAGTGGACTGTTAAAAGTCTTTCAAGAATTTTTTTCTGTTGGTGAAAAAAGGGACTTAAAGTGTACATGGGATCATGAAGCTACTGACAAGAGCTTTTCCAGTTTGTGAGAGTGATTAATTTTTGCACCAAACCTATTACTAAAAAGCTTTTATTATTACTTACAAGAGAATCTTCTGGACACCCATAACCGACTCCCAAGGTTTCTTTTTGCTCCAATAAATTGAAATCTTTCTTTTGGAACTGAAAACCCTTCATGCAGCCCCTGAAGTTGATATCTAGAGGAAGATGTGCTCTCAGGGTCCTGAGGGGGGAAAACTCAGTCATTATTGATTAACCATGATAATGATGTTACCCTGGATTTATTTATGCTATATCTTGAAACTTTCCCATACCTGACCCTTGAGTGGATTTTCAGAGGCAGTAAATCACATCACAGGAGACTGCCCATCTTTCTGCTATGGGGCAGTTGGTAGATTTGAACCACGTGCTTTCAGATTGGCAGCGCAGCTTTTATAGCACTAGGTCACCAGGGTTTCCTTTTTGTATATATTTACCAGTATTAAATTATATTTATCATAATGTTGCTTATTGGCCTAGTTGTAAGAATATGAACCATTTTGCTTAGATCCACAATCAATGCCTATGGAACCAATAGTCAAGAAATCAAATGATGTATCACATTCAGCAAATCTTCTGCAAAGGCCCTTTTACAAGTGTAGTAAACAAAGGTGACGTTTTGATAATTAATGTGTCTGACTCAAGCCAGAGTATTTTCATTCACCACATACGTATGTGAATACTATACAATAAATATTATAAATAAGGTAGATGGAAAAATAATCTGTAGCTTTGAGTTATGGTGTTGGCAAAAAGTGTTAGATACACAATAGACAACCACACTAAAAAGGAATGAATTTATCTTGGAAGAAAAGTAGTCAGATGCTCCTGAGAAGCAAGAATAATAATACTTCAATGTCAAGACTTCATGCTTACTTTGGATAAGAAGAATATAACAGTAAGATAAAGGAGTCAGAGACAAAAGGGAAGACTCTCAATGAGATGGGCTGACATGGTGGCCATGATGACTATGAGATGGCATGATCAGGCAATGTTGTCTATGAGATGATTCTGGTTGGAATTGACAGGATGGAACCTAACAACTAGAAGTACAAGATAGTATGCTTTCCTTTCTTATCATTGGAATTTTCATGCTTTCTTTGACAATCAGCCAGGTAAGTCTGTTGTCAAGGACAATGTTATTGAGCTAAGTCAACTCATACACTTAGCAAATTATCAAAGTATTTTAACTTTTATTAGCATAAAAGATAGCAATTCAGAGCTCTGGTGGTCTAGTGGCAAGAAGCTGCACTGCAATCCCAGAGGTGCACGGTTCAAATCCACCAGATACTCTGCTGGAAAAGGAGGAACAATCTCCTCCTCTACCAGTCAGATCCAATTTGACGGTACACACACACACACACACACACACACACACACACACACAGAGTAATTCAGAGAAAGAGAAAAAATGTTATTTACATTTTCTGGATGGTTATTAGATTGAACCCACACATGGGAATTTACACACATGTTGGTTAAAAATTTACAACAACTTGCCGGGTTTATTTTTAGAGCACAGAATGAGACAAAAGTTTTTAACTTATTCTTTATGTCAAAATTAGTAAGTTAGATGATCCTAGGCCTTCAAACTTTCAGTACTATATTGGGTACTGAATTAATTTTATTGATGTTGTTTGCAATGCACTAAAATCCTCTAAGCTTAGAGCACTGTCTAATAAAATACTGGACCATTGGATGAATAGGAAAATAAGAAATCACTTGTACTGAAGATTAAGGAAGGCATCTTGCTCAATACTGTGATGCAGAGCTTATACTTTGTTATAAGTGGTGGTTTGGTATATTGAGTATGGAATGAATAAGAAGTTAATTTTATTAAATTGCAATAGTTTCAAGGTGTTTTGTATGAACACTGGCCAAACTAAGAGAGGTAATGTTGTTGTTTTTATATTCCATAGAGCCAAGTAAGACTGACAGAGACCAAATGAACAACAGTTCTGAACTTTGTCCTATCCTGCACCACCCTCAACATCTTTGACACATTTGAGTCCATTGCCATAGACACTGTATTAAACTGCCTTCTTGGGAGTCTTTCTCTCCTTTCCTAACCCTCCATCTATCCATGCATGGTGTTCCTTTCCAAAGAATAGCCTCTCCTCACAATATGTCTAAAATAATATGAGACTAAATTTCACCATCCTTGCCTTCAAGAAATATTTTGGTTGAACTTTCTCTAGGACTTATCTGTAAGGATGTAACAGTCCCAAGGCATTCCCTTGTGCCAAGATCACATCTGGAAGATAGTACTAATCAGCAGAATGTATGAATGTTCACAGCAACCATGACTAAAGGTTACATTTGCCATGATTGAAGGAATGGAAGGTGTTCAGTTAGGAAAGGAAGTTTGCAGAACTTCCTTGAAATGTGAAACATTGCATCATGGAAGAGAGATGTAACTGATTTTTATTCTATCTAAGGAAGAATTTTTTAAATACTTGAATCCCATAAATTTCTCATTTTCCTATCTTCTGAGGTAGTTGCTTGACTCTTGCTAAATTTATACAAAGAGTGCTATGAGGATCAAAGAAGAGTAATATTTTCTATGAGATTGAAGGTCAGCCCTAGCTACACAATAAAGTCATTTTCCTGGAAAAAAAAATCCCTTTTCTTTTTTTTTTTAAATGCAATAATGAATGAATATTTGTTTAAAAGAAGCTAACTGGGGTCTAGGGGTAGTAGGGAGGAAAATGTCTAATGAATGAATGAAAAATCCAATTTTTCTGTAAACTTTCATTAAAATCATCATAAAATTTTTTTTAAAGATAGACTGTCATAGTCACTGTAACAACTTTCTGTCAATCTCTTTTAAAAAATTTGATATTATGGTCAAGTATGACTACATAAGTACCAAATATCAAAAACAATGAGCAAAGTTACTGTGTTCTTATGCTAACTGAATGACCATAAATGATCAAGAAAAAAAAATACTTGGGATGGGACATGACATGCAGGTTGGAGGCTTTGAAAAAGGGAAACATTGGAGGATAACTGATAAAAGTTGTCCAAGACACTTAGAGTCCAGCCCCAAAGCCCAACTCTCCCCACAGCCAGTGATTCCCACAACTAAAGCCGAAAACCGAATTAGTACCTAGACTCAGTTTTAGATTGTGTCACACAAGAACAACTCCCGTCCTGGGCCCAGGTTAAAGAGCCCCACCACCTTCTCCTTCAGAAAGGCATGAGAGAGTCAGAAAATGCCATTTATTAACCTCTAAATCTAATAAAAGTAAGAGCTCTATCTAAGTATTTTAAGAAGACTTGGCAATGTCAGTCTCACTGGTGTGCTTCTGTTTCAGCAGCCTCTGTATCTGTCCTCTGAGAAGTTCAGAGGGCTTCATGTGTCCATTTCCTCCACAGTCTTCTCAGCATTAGTGATCATCATGGGATGCAGAGGAGAAAAGCCAGAAAGACTCAGCAGCTTTTCCACGGCCTTAGTGAGGTGGGTGCCGCAGCCAAGCCAATGCTGGATCCTCTCCAGGTTGAGGGCCACGAGATCTTTTCTCTGGGAGTGTTGGGCAATGGATTATAGGAGCTCAGCTGCTCCACGAAGTGGCCATCCCTGGCATACTTGTTGAAAGCAACCACGATATGCTAGAAGGGCCGGTTGGAACAGCCACCCAGAGTGAGGCAGATGGTTAGGTGGCCCCCGGGTAGACTTGCAGAGGAGGGTCATGAGGTGGACCAAGGCACACTTGGCTCGCAACGGGGCCTGTCCATCAATCATGAACCCTCGGAGTGCCTCGCTGTCTGCACCAATGCGCTCTAAAGCATCACGCGGTGCTGGGGATTGACATGAGAAAGGCCAGAGCCAAAAAAATTTCCTTTTCTTAATGTATCATGTTAAGGCTTTAACTCAGACCAAGAAGAATTTCTGGAGAGAGGGGCCTAGGTGATAAAATTAATAAAATTCTCCCATTTAATTTAATGAGAACCAGGATTGAGAACTATTGGGCTAGATTATCCTAAATTTGTCTTTTAACTTAAGAGTCTCTGATGTTATAAATTGATTGCAACAAATGACAGCTAATTATTTAAAATGTTAGGAAAGCCCCAATAACAATAGCAAAATTCAACAGGGCAGCAAACAACAAATGCTGGCAAGGTTATGGAGAGATTAGAACTCCTATTCACAGCTGGTGACAATGTAAAATGGTATAACCACTAAGGAAGGCTGTATAGGACTTTCTTAAAGAGTTGGAAACAGAAATATCATTTGACTCAGAAATTCCACTATTGGGAATACACTCTACAGACATGAGAGCTACAACTCAAACAGATGTATGCACACTCATGTTTATTGCCGTGTTAGTCACAATAGCAAAGATCTACCCCGCCCATCAACAAATGAATGGATAGAAAAACTATGGCACATTCACACAATGGAATATTATGAACCATTAAAAAATGATGAACTCATAAAACATTACACAACATGGGAGAGCCTGGAGGACATCATGCTGAGAGAAATATTTCAGTCACAGAAGGACATACAATGTATAACACTGCCATTATAAAATAAGATAGATCTGAGGGGGTAGGGAGAGAATGAGAAAGAGTAGATAGATAATGAATGCTGCCTTAGAAAAGATGAGGGTAAGAACTATCCCAAAGGCATATATGATTATTCGATATATATATATATATATATGAACAATCTGGAACAAGGGTGCATTGTGGAGTGAGCGGGGGAGGGGAAGAAGAAAATGTACAAATAAAAAGATAAAATGAAACAAGTAAGCATACAAATTAAAAAAAATAAAACATTAGGAAAATACTTTCTTATGCATAATCTATACCCCTTAAGTAAACTTAAAAGTATTCACCTTTATTAGATTCTGAGTTCAAAGTATTCAATTAAGACTAAAACAAAAGTGAGAGAATGCAATGCTACTTTATTCTTACACAATACACATACTCTGTCTTTCCTCTCTTTGACATAATATGCTCCTGAAATAACACAACAATTACAGAAACTGTAACAAAGTGGGAACACCTCTCATTGGTGTCTGTGAGTATGTATGAATGTGCCCATGTAAGAAAAATAAGTGAGAGTGCTTAAATTTTAAACTAGATATTTTTTGGTATTGAATATTCATCTCAGTACATCATTAGGAACAAACAGCTATTTTACAACAAGAAACTCCTTACCTGGATTGTAAGATTTCTGGGGGAGCCCCTCCGATGTATATGTCTGTAAAAGGTATTTTCATCTTTTCATTGTCCATGCTCTTCACATGTCGTCTGTCAACTACCAAGATCATTTTCTTATCATTATGGTAAATTATAGAGATCTGAGAGAAATAATATACATATAATATGCCTTGATGAACTCTTCAATCACCAGCTTTTTAAAGACTGCTATAGAGTTTAATTATTCTGGTTATAATAGTTGCTTTTCCATGTTGTTGTGCTTACTTGTTCACAACATGGGAAAGAGATTATTCCTTTTTACAACGACACATGGAAATTCTTACGTATATAAACAGCAGTTCAATTTCCTGGGGAAGGATGTCTATATGGAGATGGAATCGGCCCAAGAAATGTTTTGTTCTGAGACCTGCTGGTAGTTTGGTTTTTCCCTTTTTGTCTTTTCTCAGAGATTTAGGAGAGAATTATATTTTTTCCTTAGCTCAGGTGCTTTCTGGACCATAGATAGAATGTCATAAGGCAAAGTAGAGTCCAATAATGAGCAACTAATAAATTTGTGAAAAAGCTACAAGTGGAGAGGTAGTTAAAATATTATCCTTTTATTATAAGTCATCTTGAGGAAGACAACAGACTTTGAACTTAAAAGTGAAATATAGCTTACTATCCCTTACATTTTGTTTCAATTTAAAGCCTATTACATTTTTATATACTTTATTAAATTGTAGATTTAAAGTATCTATTAATGAAAACAAAGGAAATAAGAGTAGAGTATATTGCACATATGTTATAAGACTAAAGATTATTCTTTCTGTATTCTCTTTATAAGAAATCATTTTAATAGTCTCTAAGTTCTGGGGAAACATTATTAAAAGGAAATTCTACATTTAGTTTTATCTACTATTTTTGTATTTATGTATTGGTATGACAGATAATGTTTAAAAATCCCTGAATATGAACACTCTGACAATTTCAACAAATGTATAGAAAAGTTCTACAGGAATTTGGTTGATAGTCATGATGCTAACATTGCTGCAAACTTTTGGCTGATGGTGGAATTGCAATTAAGAATAGCTTTCCAATGATTCTGTTAAAGGTACTGGTATAACCAAAAATTATCTATTCTTTAGAGTAAATGTTATTTTTGGGGTTGAGTCATTGTTGCTTCTTTAGATATAAAGATGTTCAGTTTAATAACTAGTCTGCCTGCCTCATTTGCACCTAATTAGACCTGTAGATCCAAGTACAAACACATAAAAAAAACAAATAATATTTCATACCTCATGGTATTTAGCATCATTAATCTGAGCTTTCTTCAATGTGTCTTCAAGACGCATTGGGCCATTGCTGAATCCAAAGTCATAGAACACATGCAGGTAACCATTGCGCATTTCCAGGCTGAAAAACCTACTCTGTGGAGTCAAAGAAGTTTAATGATGCAAGCATTTATTATTATGGAAATGTATATTTAGGTAAATTAGAGAAACAATAGTGTATATTGAAATGATACTGAAATTATTTAAAAAAACAAGTCTTATGAAGCTCATTATGAAATAAACATTATTGCAACTTCTGTATTAGTTATTTCTCATATCAATATTGTTGTTATTGTTATGTACTGTCTAGTTGAACTGACTCATAGCTGATCCTCCAGTGGGTTTTCAGATACATGAATCACTCAGGCGATAACCTATCTTTCACTCATAGAACAGCTGGTGGATCCAAACTCTGTTCCTTTGAGTTGGCAGCTTGACCCCTTGCCTCTAAGCTACAAGACCTCCCTCATATTAATAAAGTTTAATATTTATTGATAATTTAAGAGAACTATCTTTTCCCTCGTATTGTATTTCATGAATTAATGGATTAAGTTTTAAAGCTACATTATTGTTGTTATGTGCTGTCGAGTCGCCTGAGAAACATAGTGACCCATAGTACAACAGCCCCAAACCCTGCTTTTTCCTATGACAATCTTATTGTCTCTGACACACTTACCCTCATTGCCCCAGTCACTCAATCAATCCATCTCATCAAAAGTCTCCTTCTCTTGTGCTGTCCCTCCACCCTCCCAAACATGATGTCCCTCTCCAAGGACAGGTCCCTCCTTGCAACACATTCAAAGTATGTCAGATGAAGCTTCAGAATCCTTGTTTCCAAGGAGCATCCTAGTCCACCTTTTCTAAGATGAACCTGTTAAAAACTCAAGACTTGGAAGGAATTCACAAGGGATGGGTCCTCTCACCATCCCATTTCAATTTATATGCAGAACAGATTATGTGGAAGGCTGGGCTCTATGAGGAGAAATGTGGCATCAGGATTGGAGGTAGACTCATCAACAATCTGCGTTATGCAGATGACACAAGTCTACATTAGGGAACTTTAAAAGTTCTTGAAATTAATAAACATGTGCAGACAGAATGTCTCATATTTATGTGATTTAAAAAAAATTGTAACAGACCAATAGATGGAAATTTTTGCACAGTCAAAATGTCCTGTTTATACAACTTAAAAAATCACAACACTACAATAGATGGAATTAATTTAATTAATTCAAGGAAAAAGTAGTAATATTGAAAAATAATTCTGAAGTACATAACATTATTTATAAATATAAGCATAAAAAGTTTATTTCTGTATCATACTGAAACACTAGGTTTATACAAATAAATATGAAATTATTATGTACTTAGACACATTTTGTGGTAGAACTAAACATGAGGGTAGAGGGACAGTGCAATAGAAGAAGACCTTTGATGAGATGGATTGATTGAATGACTGGGGTAATGAGGGTAGGTGTGTCAGAGATTGGCACAAGATAGAGCAGGGTTTACGGCTGTTGTAGAACCAAAGGGACCTTGTGGTAAGGTGTTGTGCTACTGAAGTTTCAGGGTTCAAATCTACCGGTTGCTCCATGGGATAAAGATGGGTAATCTCCTCCTATGTGATATACAGCCTCTAAAAACCTGCTAGAGGGTTCAGCTATGAGTTGGTTCTAACTCAACAACTTATAACAATCACAATATGCAATTTACTGGTCAAATTTTCTTTGTTTTGTTAAATACAGTGTTACAAGAATTCAATTGACTTGAAAAATTGGTACTGTAAAAAGTAGTTTTTATTTTCTGGGAAATGTTTCCTGCATGGAGGGAAAGATCATCTATTGTGGTATAAAAAGAAAAAATAGCAAATTCTCTTTGTTTATACTTTTAAAAGCTAAAAGAAAACAAGACTTAGTATTTAATATATTCACCATTATGTGTAAGTTTGTGTGTGGCTACAATGCTGAAGCTATGCCATTATTACTTCAAACACAAGCACATACTGTTCACCTGGTGAACAGAATCTAGACCAAGATATACTAGGAAAAAAGGCCTGGTGATCTACTTCTGAAAAGAAATTAGTGAAGTTTTTTTGATCACAGCAAAATACTGTTTGACTCTCATTCTACATACATAATCAGAAGGAATTGGTTTTTCTTCCTCATTGTGTGGAACTATAATCAACTCATAGCTAACTCCATTTGGGTTTGTAAGGCTAGAAATTATATGGAAGGAGAGAGACATGGCCTTTGGATTAACAGTGCAACTCCTTGTGGACTATCAGAATTCTCTTAAGAGAATGGAAGAAGAAAGATATGGTCATCTATTTCTCAAAAATAAATAATAGGCATTGCCCGGCCTCTTTCCCAGGTGTACTCGGCCTTAGTTCCGTTTGCCCTCAGTAGACATGGCGCTGGCCAGCGTGTTGCAGAGGCCGCTACCGGTGAACCAGCGCGGCTTTTTCGGTCTTGGGGGTCGCGCGGATCTGCAGGACGTGGGTCTAAGGAGTTCATGCGATGGGCTGAGTCTGGGTGCGCCTAAATGGGGTGTCCCGGAGGAGCCAGGGATCGAAATGCTTTATGGAACCACCACTCTGGCCTTCAAGTTTCGCTATGGTGTCATTGTGGCAGTGGAGTCCCGGGCCACAGCAGGTGCTTATATTGCATCCCAAACGGTGAAGAAGGTGATCGAGATCAACCCCTACCTGCTAGGCACCATGGCTGGAGGTGCTGCAGATTGTAGCTTCTGGGAGAGGCTGTTAGCGCGGCAGCGTCGAATCTATGAGCTTCCAAACAAGGAACGCATCTCAGTAGCGGCTGCCTCCAAGCTGCTGGCCAACATGGTCTATCAATATAAAGGCATGGGGCTGTCCATGGGTACCATGATCTGTGGCTGGGACAAGAGAGGCCCTGGCCTCTACTATGTGGACAGTGAAGGTAACCGGATCTCAGGGGCCACCTTCTCTGTAGGTTCTGGCTCTGTATATGCCCATGGGGTCATGGATAGGGGCTACTCCTATGATCTGAAAGTGGAAAAAGCCTATGATCTAGCTCATCGAGCCATCTACCAAGCTACCTACAGAGATGCCTACTCAGGAGGTGTGGTCAACCTCTACCACGGCCAGGAGGATGGCTGGATCTGAGTCTCCAGTGACAGTGTAGCTGATCTACATGACAAGTACAGTGGACCTGCCCCCTAAGGGAGGCTGAATGCATCTGCTTGCATTTATTGGAGTGTCATTGATAATAAGAGCACAGCACCCCATCCTGTAGTACAGGGGTTTCTAATTGATCCTTTTATTAAGCTCATGTACATTGACCTTCATTGTGTTACCAGATGTTAATGAGCTGCTGCAGAAGAAACTATTTGTATTACTTTTTTTTTGCTGTTAACATCACACTGCTCACCCTCAAAAAAAAAAATAATAAAAAGGGCCAGTGAAATTCCCTACAGTGGGGGAGTATTACTTGATACAGTGACAGAGGATAAGCCTTTTAGGTTTGAAGGCACTCAAAGGAGAGTTGACCTTAATGGTCTGGACATATTAATGCTTTGGAGACTTTCGTTTGTTGATGTGGCATGACTTAAAGTGAGAAGAAGGAAACATTAATTACTAATTGGAGCACAGAATATAGAGGTATGAATCTAGAAAAGTTGTAAGTCAACAAAGACTGAATGAAATGAATAAAGGTCATTGTTCTAGAAATCAAAGCTGCAACTGTGTCACAATTCCTCCCTTCCCTCTTCTCCTCCCTCTGGGCTCCAGCCCAGAACACAGAGCTTCAAAAAGGGTCCAGCCACCATAGATCCTGCAAGAGGCTTCAGCCAGTCAGAGAACAATATCTCGGCCATGGTATTTATTTGTAAGCCAGTTTGGTTTTATGGTTTGCTCTTAAGGTTACAACACCTTTCAGTTTGTTGTGTTGGATGAGTGATATGCATGTTGCTACTTACTTTATAAATTAGGTGTGTATATGATTGCTTTGAAATGGACTAGAAGTGGCATTTTAAATCAGACATTCTTGTAGTCTATTATTGTGAGAATGACATATTGAAGAGGAATAATGTCAAATTCATAGTCAAAAGAATATTTCAATGTGTATCTTATAGTGCTGCCATCATAAGGTAATACCCATTCAACTACAAGGAAGACCAGTTAATATGCTTATTGTTAACATTATACACTAATACCAAATATGAAAAATTTGTAAGTTTTCCCACCAAGGTCTGTAGTCTAAAATTGACTAAATACAAAATCAAGATGTGTTAATAATTACTAGTGATTATAATGCAAAAATGGAAAAATATGGATTTGTAGCTAGGGATTGCACAGTAGACTTTTTCAAGACAGCAACTTTTCAATACAAATAATTTTTAGCAAATACATTTGTACCCCATTGGATGAAATAAATTTTTGGAAAAAGATGATAGATGAGCAACATTTTATCAACCAGCAATTAGAAAACCAAATGGAAGAACACACTCTGCATTTCTCAAACTAAAGAACTGAAGAAAATTTCAAGCATCAAACTGTGGCACTGAAGGGTAAAATACTAAATGATGCAGGAAGTACGAAAAGAAGATGAAAGGAATACACCATCACTGTACCAGAAAAAATTGGTCTGATAACGTTGCAGGAAGAGATCTAAGCTGTACAGAAGGCATTCGTGAAAAATAAGGCTTCAAGAATGGTGGGGATAATGGTTGAAATATCTTAACAATCAGATAAAATTCTGAAAGGGCTCACTCATGCCAGAAAGTTTGGAAGATAGCTACCTGGCTAACTGACTTGGAAAAAATTCTTATTTGTTCCAATTTGAAAGAAAGGTGATTCAAATAGGAAATATAAATAGGAAATTAGGAATAGAAATAGGAAATTATAAAAAAATCATTAATTCCATATACCTTCTAATGAAGGTAATTATAAGACAATTAAAGGGGTACCTTAACTTTGAATTCTCAAAACTCAATTCCTTGAGTTTTGGATTTATAAAGGAACTAAAAGAATATTATTGCTGATATCAGATGAATTTTTGCTGAAGGCAGAGACTATTAGAATAATATTTTCTTGACCTTGCAAAGGCATTGTCTATGTG